CCAGGAGAGAGATCTCATGGAGGAAGAGGTGGGGAGGGGACGAGAGCCACTCATAATTAAGCGCACGCAGGCCCACGCACGTGCTCCATTTCTCAGCGACCGCCGCGCCGCCATGAGAACTGTCGTACCACCGCCGCTAATGCGGCGGATGCGTGACCTCTCCCATCCCTGTCCTGCGCTGTTTCTGCTACCGCCCTCCCCCCTTCCAGCCAAACTCGGGTTTCGTGCTCGGAGACGGGCGCGGCTGGCGGCTCTTAGTGCGGGTGCGCGTGCTGCCTCCAACTCCTCATCCCCTCCTCCTCCTCTCCTCATCCCCCCTCCTCTTCCTCCTCGTCCTCCTCTATCGGCCCAGCTCCGATCGCCGCTCAGCTCTCCTGGTGCGGCTGGCGGCTAAAGTACCGAATATTGCCTGGGATGTCCTTCGCCTTCTTCTTCGACATCTCAAGCATCATCTTGCCCATCTCCTCGGTGCGGCGCGCCTCCTCCATCATCTGCCGCGCCTGGTCGACGAGCATCTGGCCCTTCACTCCAACGGCGCGTGCATGGCGGCAACGATTGCGCCACTGGAGAAACCGCACAACCATGGTCGCCCAGTGCCAAACACTGCCCTCCGCCGTGATGAGCTCGAAGTCATCGACGTCGTACTTGCCCGCGATGCTCGCCATACCGGCGCAAAAACCGCGAAGGAGCCTCCTCTGGCAGCCCCCGCTGCTGCGGAGACTTCGGCAGAGGCTCCTGCGCGGCTCCAGTCGCGGAGGCGGGCGGGCGCGGCGGGAGGCAGACCTGCAGCGGCTGCGGCTTCACTTTATCGCATTTCCATCCCTCCCTGCACTCACATGGCTTTTCCCATTGCGCCAGTCTGCTGCTCCCACTTCTGAACTACCTCATCCCTTCTACCTCCATATGTACCCTCCTCTTCCTGTTCAATCCTCCCTCCTCCCTCCACCGTGCTCATTTCTCCTTACTCCCTTCTCTGCTCCTCCTACGTGGGGCGTTTCACGACAACGACGACGACGATGACCACGACGGCGACAACGAGGGCGACGACGACCACGACGACGACGACGAGGACGATGACCACGACGGCGACCAGCGACGACGACTAGCGACGACAACGACCGACGACGACGACGACGCCGACCACGACGACGACGGCGACGACGACAACGAGCGACGACGACAACGACAATCGACGCCGACGAGGAACGACGACGACGAACGAGGACGACGATTACGACGACGAGATGACGAAGGTTCGAAGATCGAACCTCGAAGTGCGAAGCTTCGAAGTTCAAACTTCGGACTTCGAACTCCGAACTTCAAACTTCGAACTGCGAACTTCAATGGGGTGCCAGGGATGCAATGGGATGGAGGGAAAAATGGGAAGGAGAGAGCGAGGAAGCGGGAGAGGAAGTTGGAGGAGAACGAACAGGCGTGTAGCGACGAGGAACGGGCGGCGAGGAGCCGACGTTGAGGGCGGCGGGATGGGGGGACAGGAAGGAGAGGGGCGACTTCAGAACGAAGATCGCGCAACGGCGCCTGCACGCGCGCCCCCGATCTCGCAGGCCGACGCGCGCGCCCCTGCCGAAATGCAACGCACCCTTCTTTCGAGCCCCGCTGCTGCGGAGCCACCTAATCCACAACCAAATCGTCTGGGGAGCTGTTCGGTCCCCAAACTATTGGTTTGCCAGCCGCTGCCGCGGGCGCCGAGGGCCCGGTGCTGGACGCCGCGGCCCCGCTGCTGCGGGGCCCCTGAGAAGGCGTCGGCCTCCCCTTCTCTCTGGCGGCGTCGAACTTGACCTTGCGCTCCACACCGAGGTCCTTGTGCCAGCGATGTGTTCCTGACCCGTCGCTCCCGCCCAAACCCGCGGCTGGTGGCCTCACCGTGTCCGCGTGGGGGACGAGGGGCAGAGCTTCGACCTTCCTGTCGCCCCAGTGCGGGTGTAAACGGACGCCTGTCCCGTCGTCGCGGTGCAACACGAAATCCCACATCGGCAGCTTCACTTTCACCCGCTGCCCCGCGAACTGTCGCGCGCGCACAATACTCTGACGCATGTGGTCGTAGCTGTTTGGCCGGACTTCGAGGGAACATCCGATCAGAGCCCCGCTGCTGCGGGGCCCCCCCACGACCTCCCTGATATCTTCCTCCCTGAGCGTCGCCACCATCTCTTGCCACCGCCAAGGGACTTCCTCGTCGCTTCTGAAACCAAAGCTCGTTCTCGCACCGTGGTCGCAAACAGCGACCATGGTGGGCCCCGCATTGTCAAACCACTTGGCTTCTGACTCGAACGGGGCAGTTGGGTCTTCATTCAGATGGCGCCACCATTTCACCGCTTGATTGTGTTGCTTAAACGAAGTGCCGAGCCTCTCTTCATAACTCAAAAAATAATTAACATCAAACTTCTCAAAATCCTGGGGCCCGCGCGCCGCCGCCGCTGCGGTGGCGCGGGGCTCCTGCGCCGCAGGCGCGGCTCGGGATCCCGACCCCTCTCCTGAAACTGTGTTCCCAGTTTCTGGTGAGTTTCGGAGGGCAGCCCTCACGAAATTATCGAATTCGGGCATGCCGAGACCAGGGGCGCGGGGGCTCACAACGCTAAGCGCGGCGAAGCGAGACGGCCGTTGAGGCGAGACCGCTGCCGCTGCTGCGGCGGCAGGGCCATCGCGCCATTTGGCGTCCTCCGTTGGCGTGTGCCCGTCTTGTCGCCAGTCTCTCCAACCCCTCGCTGACCAATCATGGCCGTCCTCCCAGCCACGCCAGCCGCTGCTGCGGCTATCCCACCCTCCTCCCGCGCCATCCCATGTGTATCCGCCTGCATCGCCCATTGCAAGACGATGGCGCAGGCGCGCGTTAGGCCGCGACGGGCCCAGCTGCACCGGTGCTCGCGGGCGATCCCACGGGCGCGGGGTGGGTTGAGCATAGCGGCGGCGGACGACGCGACGTGATTGGACGGCGGAGAACTTGAAAGGAAGGGGGGTTGGAAACGAATGAACGAAGTGGACGAAGAGCGGAAATCGAACCAGAGGGAGGCGACAAAAAGAGCGGAAAATAATAAGGACATGCAGACGAAGGAGAGTGACGAGGTAGATGGCGGGCCAGAACGGCAACGGAGGATAATGTGGTGGAAATTGTGAAAAGGACGCATGGAACAACACGACGAGGATCACAGACGCAAAGATGATGAGCGCAGTGGTAGCATGACATATCCGAAATCAAGAAGCAGGATGAGGAGGAACGGGATGACGAGCAACTCTGTCGCAGAGAGCCTCCGAACGCACCCCCTCTGTCACAGAGGGCCTCCGAACGCACCCCCTCTGTCACAGAGGGGGTCCGAAAAACACCCCCTCTGTCACAGAGGGGGGAAATGATCACTTTAATGCGGCTTCTGGATTAGTCCCACCAGCCCTCTGGGCGTAGGTGGTCTAGAGCAGATCCTCTTCCACCCCTCCCTCTTCCCCCTTGGGGAGGGGTTTACCCCTCCCCCTACCCCCTCCCCTGGACCTGGACGGGGGGGGCCGCGGGTAGTTAGAGCGTCCAAGATGGCCCAAGACGGCTCCAAGAGCGCCTCAGAGAACCCAAGATGAGCTCCAAGATGGCTCAAGATAGCGCAAGATCGCTCACGATGGCTCCTAAGATGGTTCCAAGAAGCCCAAAGACGGCCCCAAGATAACTCCAAGTGGCCAAACAGCTCCCCAAGGAGGCCCCGAAGAGGCCAAAATCGTCCCAAAACCTAAGGAAAATCAATGATTTTTGCTTTCTCGCCTTTTCGCTTCCGATGGCCATCCGAGGCCTGGAGATGGCTCCAAGATGGCCCAAGAGGGCCCCAAGAGAGCCCCAAAAGAGCCCCAAGACGGCCCCAAGAGCGCCCAAGAGCACTCCAAGAGCGTTCCAAGAGGGGTCCAAGAGGCGATTTAGGGGCTTCCGAGGGGGGACGCTAATTAAACCCCCCCTCTTGTTTGATCGACTCCCTCCAAGATGGCCCCAAAAGCGCCCCGAAGGCTCCCCAGAGCGCCTCAAGAGGGTCCCAAGAGGCGCCCAAGATGCCCCAAGGCGCCCAAAAAGCCCTCCAAGAGGCCCTCAAAAGACCCCCAAGAAGCTCCTTCCCCTCCTCCTCCTCCTCCTCCGATTCTTCCTCCTTCTCCGTCCTCCTCCTCCTCCTCCTCCTCCTCCTCTTCCCCCTCCTCCTCCTCCTCCTCCTCCTCCGACGACGACGACGACGACGACTCCTCTTCCATCCTCCCCCTCTCGGGGTCTGTGACAGCTTCCCCCGCCCTTTGTTATTCTGCATGCTCCCGACTTCCCTGATCACCTCAACTCCCCTGAGCATCGTTTCTGGATGGGCTGGTGGGGATACGCGAAGCGTCAACAATAATATTACGACGGCTACACTACTACTACTACTACTACTACTACTACTACTACTACTACTACTACTACTACTACTACTACTACTACTACTACTACTACTACTACTACTTTTACTACTACTACTACTACTACTACTACGACGACGACGACGACGACGACGACGCCGGCGACTACTACTACTACTACTAGTACTGCGACTGCTACTGTTACTACGCGTACTTCTTCTACAACTAGTGCTACTACAGCGACTAATACTGCTACTACACAAATCCTAGACTTCTTACGACCACGGCTACTACTGCTGCCAGCTTGACTTGCCCACCCCATCGCCATCACGTGTCATCATCATAGCCTCCACCATCATCGGCATCATCATCAATATCATCGTCGTCACCATGATTAGCATCATCACCATCATCGTCACCATCACCATCATCAGCAGCAGCATCATCAGTATCAGCATCACCACCATCAGTATCATCATTCCCATCATCGCCGCAAGATGGTCATCATCATCATCAGCAGCAGCATCACCATCATCATCAACAAAAGCAGCATCACCGTTCCCTCGAGCGTGGGCGAAGTCGCTTCCAGGAGGAGGGTGAACGCCAGCGGGAGCCGCCGAGGCGCCCGCGGTTCGCCCCATGGCCACGTCTCGACGCAGTCCTGGTGACATGTCGCCTTCTCCTTCTCCTTGTTCCAATACAGCTCCATGGCCTTGCTTACGTCTCCCCACCTCCCTCCCTCCCGCCCTTCCTTCTCCCTCTCCCCTCAAGCTCCTCCAGCTCCTCCTCCTCCTCCTCCTCCTCCCGCGCCCCCATCCCTCCTCACATCACCCCCTCCTCCTACTCTGACCACACCACCCCCTCCTCTTGCTCTCCCCTCTCCTTCTGTTACATCTCATCCTCCTCCTCCCCCTCTTCTCAACCTCCTCCGCCTCCTCCTCCTGCTAAGCATCATCACCATCTCCATCATCATGATCATCATCATCATCAACATTATCATCCTCATCATCACAATCATCAGCATCATCGTCGTAGTCGTCGTCGGCAGCAGCAGCAGCGGCATTATCATCAGAAGCAGCGGCATCAGCACCTGCATGAGCATGAGCATCAACATAAACATCAGCAGCAGAAGCAGCAGCTTCATCCGCATCGTCATCTGCATCATCATCATCATCATCATCATCATCAGCATTATCATCCTCCTCATCATCACCATCCTCATCACCATCATCCTCAACCTCCTCCTCCTCCTCCTCATCATCATCATCATCCTCATTCTCATCACCTCAATCTCCTCCTCCTCCTCCTCCTCCTCATCATCATCCTTCCCCTCCTTGTCCCTCCCTCCTCATCCCTCCCCCCCCTCCTACTCGATCCCCCTCCTCCTCATCCTTCTTCCTCGTCGTAGCTCGTGCGCAGCTATAAAGGCTTTCACCTCCACCTCTGGCTCCTCGATCTCCTCCACCTACACCTTCGCCTGCTCCTCCAGCCTCCCCTTCCTCTTCCTCCTCCTTTTCCTCCTCCTCATACGTCTCCTCCTCCTCCTGCTCATCATCATCCTCCTTCTCCTCCCTCCTCTTTCTCCTCCTCCTGACCATCGTCCCTCCTCACTCTTCTGCCCCTTCTCTTCTGCCCCTCTTTCCCCTTCATCATCACCTCATGTTTCGTCTTTCCTCCATTACGGGTCAACCTATGGGTCACCTGATCGTCAATGAATATTTGCATATGTCGGCAACATACTTGCTCGATGACTTAGGAATTGCCAGCATTCCTTTCGCACGTACTCACTCTGCAAGTTATGGACCAGGTATGATACAACCGAACTACGACTCTGAAATGTTGCCGCTTGCCTGCGCCCTCTCCATCTTATCGATCGATTCATGATTCCAGCAACCTCCACACAATCATCTGTTCGCTGGCAAGCCGGTCCTCGAAGCAGAGTGTTACAGCGATTTGCTGCGATCTGATCAAATCCGGCCATCTCGTTCCGCGCAGGCAAGTCTCGTTACGAACCGCACCTGCAGAGTACGGCGTGCCACTTGGGCACTGCTTCACAATAACAACATAATGATTTGGAATATCATCCTCGGCACTCGCCTCGGCCTCGCGAATCTCTTCGGCGTCATCCGGAGAACTCAAAGTGTCGCTCAAAAAGTGGCTCGCCAGCGCGTCTCTCCTAGAAGCGCTAGGCCTGCGGAGAAACCTGCTGCCCGCCCGAGCCAGGGCAAGACCTGTCGCTGCACAAATACATGTTGTGATGCCCGATTCGTTTGCACTCGCCGCATGGCCGCCAACGTTGCAAAGAAATGAATTCACAAGTGTTGTACCGCATTCGCCCGCACTGACGGCATTTGAAGGAAGGCAACAGGCTGGCAGTACTTGCGGCATCGCGGCGCACATCAAAGGCGAAGACAAACTCCCAGAAGCAGAATACCCTGTTTCAACTGCGGGGACTCACGCTGGCAACCGGTTCCTGTCGTGAGACAAGCGCTCCAGCAGGTAGCACAACAAATGCAATCACCGCGTGATTCACCACATCTCCCACACAATTCTCACGCGCTGTCGTACTCAACGCGGATGTCGAACCTGCTGGAAACAGTCTCCCGCCCACTACCTCGCAAATCCGCCGACCCAGTCGGCGTGTGTGAGACGCTGTCGTCGTCTTCGTCGTGGTCGTCGCCAGTCCCAAGGAAATCTCGAAACGAACAGAAAAATAAACGCCCTCAGAAAAGAAAGCGCCGTAGTTAAGTTAATTTCCTCCCCTTTCTCCTCCTGACGGGGGGGACTAAGGGGAGGGGTGCGAAGGGGGGGTAGAAGGGGGTAAAGGAGGGAGGGCTCCCCGTCGGATTACCGCCCCCCACCCCCATGGAGGGCTCAGCGGCCTCCCCCTCCCCTCCACAGGGCGGCCCCCCCAAGGGGGACACGGGGGCCCCGTGGTCTCCACGTCGGGGAGCTCTCCCCCCGCCTCGGCCCCGGCTTCGGCCCCCGTCCCGGCCCCAGCCCCCGCACCTGGCGCCCCAGCCCCGGCCCCAGCCCCGGCCCCGGCTGACCCGGCCCCGCCGGCCCTGGCCCTGGCCCTGGCCCCCCGGCCCCTGCCTCGGCCCCGGCTCCGGCCTCCCGGCCTCGGCCCCGGGCACCCCAGCCCCGCGCGGCAACGGCCGGCCCCGCAGCAGGAGCCCGGGCCCCCGGCCCCGTCGCCTCTGCAGACGCCCGCGCCCCCGAGGAGACACACGGTCCTTTCCTTCTCCTCCTCCTCCTCCTCCTCCCTCTCCTCCTCCTTCCTCCTCCGCCTCTCCTCCTCCTCCTCCTCCTCCTCCTCCTCCTCCTCCTCCCCCTCCTCCTCCACTCCTCTTCCTTACGAATAACTTCTCCCTGTCGCAACCCGAGGCCAGTTCGTGAGGCAGGCCGTGCGTTTCGCCGGAGACTTCCTTACCATTTATGGCCCTGAACTTAGAAACTACTGATTGAAGGCGGCCCGTTTTCAAAATGTGGCTCTTGCCATAGCGCTATAAAAAGTTGCATGAGTTTCGCTGATTGAAGGTGGCCCGTTTCCATAATGTGGCCTTCGCCTAGGCGCCGCGTACATTCGCGCTAAATATCTGCAAGAGCTTACAGGATTGAGGGCGGTTCGCTTTCAACATGTGGCTCTCGCCTTCGCGCCGCGCACATTCGGTTTGAAAAAATGCAAGGGTTTCACGCATCCCCATGATCAGCGTACCAGAAATAATGTTTGGGAAGGATGCAGGATTATGACGGCGCAGCAGTTACGTTGATTCGCGGAGTTGAAGTCCCAGAAATGGCGTTGTGACACGATTCAGGATTGTCAAGACGCAACAATATGGTTGATCCGTGGCGCTGAAATTCCAAGAACAATGTTTTGGCAGTTCCCTCAGTGGAAATGAACCGCTGTAGGGGCCTATGAAAAGGGAGTTTGGAGGGAGGGTGTCCAACATCGTTGATGCCTCTTGGGCTTACACTGGTCCTCCACCTCCTCCTCCACATCCTCTTCCTCTTCCTCTCCCTCCCGCTCCTCCCCCTCCTCCTCCTCCTCCTCCTCCTCCTCCTCTTCCTCCTCCTCCTCCTCCTCCTCCTCCTCCTCTTCCTCTTCCTTTTTGTCCGTCTCTTCGTCCTCCTCCTCCTTCCCCTCCTCCTCTTCCTGCTGCTCCTCCTCCTCATATCAGTAGTAGTATTATGATTGTGTGTTTAAAGTACTCGTTGTTCTGCATTCGTAAACTATTACTACTATGTCTAATACCAGTGTTGTCACTAGCGATAATCGTATTACCAAAAATACGCGATAATGATGGATGATTGTAACGAAAAATAAAAACTACGATTCGCATTATCAAAGGTATTAGTAAGATACGGGTTATTCGCTTGCTGCTGATATTATTGTCATTCCTCATACTCCCTCTCCTCCTCCTCCTCCTCCTCCTCCTCCTCCCTCCTCGACATCCTCCTCTCCTCCTCCTGCTCCCCTCCTCCCCCTCCCCCCCTCCCCCTCCCCTCCCCCATCCTCCTCCTCCTCCCCTCCTCCTCCTCCTCCTCCTCCTCCGCCTCCTCCTCCTTCTCTCATGATCCTCCTCCAAGTATTTCCCCTCTTTTCGTCGGTTCTCCTCCTCCTCCTCCTCCTCTCTTTTCTCACTCCTCCTCCTCCGCCTCCTACCTCCTCCTCCTCCCCCTCCTCCCTCCCCCTCCTTTTCCTCCTCCCCCTCCTCCTCCTCCTCCTCCTCCTCCTCCTCGTCCTCGTCCTCCTCTACCTCCTCCAACCTCCACTGCCCGCCCCATGTCCGAGCTTGTGGCAGGGTCATCAACTCGTCGTTGCGGTTGTCGACGTGGTCGTGGTCGTGGTCGTCGTTGTCGTCGTCGTCGTCGTCGTCGCCGCCGTCCTTCTAGGTCGGCGGCACCAGCCGTAAGACCTTCACAACGTTTAAACATGCCAGCCGCAGATGGACAGAATGGGGCTGCCGCTGGGTTCATCAGGATGGCTGGATTTCTGCCAGAATCCTCACAATGTATGTGTTGATCCGCGGCGCTGACAGGACGCTGCGTGCAGAATGGGCTCTGCCACATCAGCACTAATTCGATCGAAGTCAAACAATCCAGAATTTGATGCAGCAATGCCTCAGTAGGCGAGCATGCACCAGCAGTACGTTCGAACCCGCTGGGGGACCTGGTTCACAGTCGTGACGGTCGTGCCTTTCAAACTGCAACCCGATGATCTTGTACGTGCGTAGTCGACGCTTCGAAAGCGAACTCGTCATACCACCAACTGCCACACAAGGCCACCAACCAGCAGTAGCAATGCGAGGTGGAACCCGATGCAGAAAGGCACTCGTCAAAGAAAGAGCCATGAAGAGCTACGCCGACGGGACACTTGACCTCCTCCTCCTCCTCCTTCTACCTCCCTTCCTCGCTCCCCCTCCCCCCATCTTCTCATTATCAAGTACTCCTCCTCGTTGAACCACCCGACGTGTCGGTAGGGCGGGGTGGGAATTTCGACTGAGATGCTCCTTGCCACCTGTGATCCTGAAGCTTGAAATTTTAAAAGGGATACACGCATGGAGGGCGCAGGGTTCTCTAGATGTGGCCCTTGCCATAGTGCCGCGCACGTGCATGGATGGATGGCGGGTCGTGTTGAACAGATGGCTCTCGCCTTAGCGTCGCGCACCCAAACATCTACATGTTCGAAGTGGTGGCATCGCTTGAGAC